GGTAGCATTCCTTTACATGTCATCAAATGAATTTACATTATCATTACATTTATATTCCTTCTTTCCCTGTAGGAGATTAGAGCTGTATTCTTCCCCACTTTACCATCACTAGACTCATATAATGTAGGTCACCCTGTGAATTTCATGACCAAGGGGAAATTTGAACCCATATTGCCTTATTCATAGTCTACCACTCTAATTGCTACACTGCAGTGGCTCCGTGATTGATCACTTTTACTCCTCTCATTCTTCTGGTGCCAGAGACAATGTCATCACGACTGCACTGACTTGTGATGCAATGATTATGACTATTGTGCTCCATGCAAATGAGTCCCCAAAGCTCTTCAGACAGTAAGACCTTCTTCTTACAACACTTGTTTCCTTACTTCTTTTGAGATGAATGATCAGCTGTAATAGTCTGTACCTTTTGTTATGTGAGCAAAGTAATTTAGCTTTTTAAACTTTATAAGTTTTACATGTAAAACTCATAGCACTTCTTTCTTGGTCACCCTTTCATTTCACAAAATTCCTGGCATGCTACAATAAATCCACATTTCAAATGCTTCTTTTTTAAACATAACATTACAATAATATTCTAGTATTAACACTTTGACACCTTTGCTTAGTCTTAACTATGGGGAAAGGGTTCAGAGATGGGCTATCCCTACCTCTTGATGACATGCCTATTGATCATGTCTTCCTGTTGTAAGTTCTTGCAAGAAAGGGGCTCTACATGTGTACTGATGTAAAAGCAAAGTGTGCTGCTTCTATATCGTCCTATAGTGCTTAAAGCACTCTTTGGGCAGTTTATGATTTAATTGTGCATGCTACACATTGACACACTGCTGCCCCCCAGGCGAGCTGGGTATTCAGTTTAACAACGTTGGGAGGATGGATGGTTGAGTCAACCTTGAACTGGCTACCTGAATCAGTTGGGGTTCAGCTCAAGTCATGTGCAGTTTTCATTGCAGTACCACAATTTAACCACTGTGCCGTGTATGCTTGCTCACCATTGTATGTTTATATACATGTATACCTGTGTACACAAACACACACTTATTCTTCCAAAGAGACAGCTGTCTTAGTTTGTTCCAGCAAAGAAAGTTGGCAATCTTCTGGCACCTTGAAGACTAACACATTTTATTTAGCACAACTAGTGCATATTTTACATATATACCTGAAGCTTTATGACAGTGGTGGCAAACCTTTTTCAGCTCGAGGGCCCAAAATGGGGGGGGGGGGGAGAAACCAGTGGCTGCCGGGCTGCCCAGAAGACCAGCACCAGAACCGGAAGGGGCAGTTTCAGGGGGAATTCATGGCGACGGACCCAGGACAGGAAGTGAAAGAGGGGGAAACCATGGTAACGGACCCACAACAGGAAGTGAAAGAGGGGGAAACATTGCAATGGACCCAGAACAGGAAGTGGAAGGGAGGGAAAACATGGCAATGGACCTAGAACAGGAAGTAGAAGGGGAGAAAACATGGCAACGTACCCGGAAGAGGAAGGGGGGGAAACATGGTGATGGACCCAGAACAGGAAGAGAAAGGGGGAATCCTGGCTGCAGCCACTTCAAAATGTTTCTTTCCACAAGGGCAGGTGGGTGGACCACTCACTTGCGTGACAGAAGAAAGGGCTTCACGTGCCACCTGTGGCACGCGTGCCATAGGTTCGCCATCACTGCTTTAGGATTTTCATGCATCTGAAAAAAATTAAACATAATTAATAGGTCGTCTGGCCTCGTGCTGGTGGGGTGGCCGGCCGGCTTCGAAGACGCGGGCAAGGCTGAACACGATGTTACTGAGACAGGGCACGTTGGGGGAAGAGTTTGGCCCGGGAGAGGATCCTGTCGCAGGGCTCCTCTTGCGTGCCTCTGGAAGGAGAAATTATGAGAAGAACAATAAAGGAAAGATGGAAGGCTCGGGCCAAACTGAGGATGAAGACAACGGTAACACAGTGTGATTGGCAGAAATCATACTCTTAAATAAGTTGATCAGAAAATATCTAGTGGAATCCTGTCATCATGTGGAAATTCTGCAGCGTGATTCCAGCTCACCTTTGTTTTCTGTGAGAACTTTTGAGGAGTTGCATTTAAAGAAGGAGCTCCTGGAGGGAGTGCACTCCCAAGCCAACTACACCAGAGCACAGGTTGCTGTCCTCTGAAGATGCCGGCCACAGAGACTGGGGAAACGTTAGGAAGAACAACCTTCAGAACACAGCCAAAGAGCCCGAAAAACCCAGAACAACCAATATCAGGCAATATTACTTTGAGTGTGAGAACAAAGAGGATAAATACAAAGCCTTATGCAATATTTATGGAAGGATCACAGTGGGCCAGAGTATCATCTTCTGCCAGACCCATAGAAATGCAGAATGGCTATGTTGTTCGCTGTCGAATGATGGCCATCAAGCATCTCTACTAAGTGGGGAAGCTTACAGTTGAACAACAGGCATATGTGATCCAGAGGTTTCGTGATGGCAAAGACAAAGTTCTTGATACGACCAATGTCGGTGCTTGAGGTACTGATGTGCAGCAGGTCACAATTGTGGTCAGCTTTAGCTTGCCTACAACAGTGACTGGCAGGCTGATTTTGAGAGATACTTGCACTGCATTGGTCGGACAGGCCGTTTTGGGAAGAAAGGCCTAGCTAGCGTTCAACATGGTTGAAAGACGTACAGTAATTTTCCACTGCTGTTCTCAATTAAAGAGCACTTCAGTACGTTCATCAAGCGACTTGATCCTGAAGATATGGATGCCTGTGATTGGGTTCCTTTTGTAAGGTAGGCGGGCCCAGGGATTCGGTGGGAATGACAGCCGGAGTCGAAGTAACCGTCAAAAAAGGATTCGTTTTATTAACATTACTATTAAACAATTCTGAACCAAACGGGTTCGTCTTTTCTTCATTGTCAAACAAGTTGTATTTCTTGGGTTGTACCCCAGGTCCCATACAGTGGACCCTTGACTTACAGACGGCTTGACTTACAGACTTTTTGAGTTACAGACTTCTCTGGCCGCAAAATTTAGGTTTGACTTGCAGATTGAAATTTGATTTACAGACCAGAAAAAAACCAAAATGGAACAAAAACGGCCTGTTACGGGATTAATCGGTTTTCAATGCACTGTAGGTCAATGGAGACTTGACTTAGACTTTTTGACTTGAGAACTGCCTTCCAATACGGATTAAGTTCTCAAGTCAAGACCCCACTGTATCTTTAACTTTTACACTTTCTTCACCCCAAAGGGGAAGATTGTGGTCTGAGCGGTGAGGGGTGCACTCAGTACTGAACAAGTGGTCCGACAACACGGGTGGATTACTGCTGAACCTTCCAGACGAGGGAGGTAAGGGCTGACTCCACCAGGGGTCCCTTTGTTCATCATAGGGGAAGAACTCGACCCCCCCTCCCTGTCTCCATTCCTTACAAGGCTCACCTCCCAGTGGTTTATCGGTCACTGTAGGTAGCCGCAGCAATCCGTCCTCCTTCATGAGGTTTGGAAACGTCTTTACCAGCGTTGCAATCCTTTCCTTCTCTATCCCAGTCTCCACCGTCTGTGTAGCTTTCTCCTCACCCGAGTCTCCTCCTCCTCTCTTCTCCCTCTCCACTTTTATACACTCATCCCATCTCCAAGTTCCTAACTCCTCCCCCCAGTCCACGGTTCTCTCGGCCAGAAACACTTCTATTGCTTTATTTGTTGTACCCTCTTCATCATCTAATTTAATCAACTCCCCCACCACACATCCTTTGCTTTCTTCTCTCTCTGGCATCTGCGAGGACGGCTCACTTCTCTGC